CGCGGAGAATTAATTTGAAATCGTGAAGTATCAAAACTTAGCATGTATCTTATAGCACAAAACTCATCAGTACGAACCGAGATGATAAAACCTTTAGTACGATATTAAAAATTACTTTCGAACAATGAAAAAAACCGTCCAAACAGGAGTCTATTTGTATTATGAGAGGAAAAGAGAGGAAACGAAACATGGAAAGAGAAATACTAAGAGTGGGGAGAAGAACTATTTCCAATGAGTGGGGGATAAATTTCGGGAAAACGTTCTGTGTCACTCTGTTTATTTAAGCCATTAAGCATTTTCTTGCCGTTTGATATGTATCATCTCCGAAACTAACCTTTTATAATAAGAACGTTCTGAACGTTCTGAATCAAGAATTCTGGAGTTTTCCCAATCAATATTGTGATTGTTGTCCAGTTTATGACACGAAATAACCGACAAAGAATTAAAAGGTTTATTTAAATCTGTAATGTGTTCTTTCAGTCGCATCTTCAACTTCCTTTTAGTCTGACCCACATAAGAATAATTATAATCCTTACAATTAACTTTGTACACAACATTAGAATGCTCTTCTTTTTTAATCTTATCCTTGCCAGTTTTTATGATCGCGCTCATACTATTCATTGGTTTATACACTAAATTAAAATTAAATTTACTTGTAAAGAATTTGAATTTTTCAGAAGTTTTTTTAAAGTAAGGAATGGTAAAAAATTTTTTATTAATATTAGAAGAATCCGAATTAGGAATGACATTCTGTTCTTTAATTAATTCAAAATTCTTTTTTAATGACAGAATTTTTATTCTATTATTATTTGTTGTAAATAAAATTTTAATGGGTATCTGTTCAGTTGGAGAGTTTTGATTAAAGAAATGATATTAATATCATGGAATTTAGGATGGGAGAGGAATAAAATTCTGTCTAACAATCCAATTACAATATCCTTTTTATGTTCTATAAGATGATTAGAAAAAAAGTTAAGATATATTCCGGAATTTGTAGGCTTTTTGTAAATGTCAAAAATAATTCTTCCATCCTCAATTAAAAGTTTGACATCCAAAAAATTTATACCTCTATCATTACCATAATCGACAGTGAATTCATACTATAAGCGAGAAGAAATTATTTTAACTTTTAAAGTACGATTATTTTGGCTGTAATTGCATGTACCTTTTGCTTATTAATTCTCTATGTAATTTTTATTTTAACATCCGACTTGCGTTTTAGTTTGTAAGACTTTCATTTTTGTCATCTTTTTATGTACTGATGATGATCAAATCTTGACCGAAACATCTACTTATTTATTTGAATTTTGAATACATGATTTGTTTAACATCTATTGCTGTGGCTGATGCTCTTTATTATTTATTTTTTGAAAGTGAGCTAATTATTATCAATTATGTTTAATCAATTAATTTTCA